GGGGGGGGGCGGGCAGTGAGCAGCTTCCTTCCTGAGGTCAAGTTCCCCAAGCTGGTGGCAGACAGGACCCAGGCTATTCACCCTTACTTGGGGGAGGGGGCAGAGAGGGCAGTCTTCCACTTCACTCTTAGCATACCTGTCAACAGTCCTTCCCAGCAGGAAACCTCTCAACTCTGGCTGTCTGACCTGCTGCCCCAGCCCTCCCCGTCTCCCCATCCTTTCTGCCAGCTGTTGGGCCAAAAGACACAAAGAAGGAGCTCAGTCCTCTTTCCAGTCCTCCTTGTGACCAGGGGACACAGACCTGATGAATCATTATTTTCAGTATGGCTACTCTTCCTTTTTCCTCCCCCACTCCACCTTTCTCCCAGACCTGGCTAATTAAAAGGAGGGGAAATAGGATGGACAACATGGGAAATTATACCATAATGATAACTATCATTTGTCAGGTACTGTTCTAAGTACTTAATATATAATCTTTATATAACTGATCTAATCCTTACAACAAGCGCCATTATTATAGTGGAACTGAGGCACAAAGACACTAAGTAACTTGCCCAGGATTGCAGAGCTGGGATCTGAACCCAGGTAACCAGTCTCCAGCCTCAGTGCTTCCACTGCTACCCTATTCTCCCTCTGACCAGTATAGCCTTCCCAGTGGGAAGGTCTGGGGAATGTGGGTTATGAAGGTTATGGAACACATCTGTGACCTTGTACACACATAGCCAGGGCTCAAATATCCTTCTAGATCCAGGGACAAATGAGAATAACATGTTCATTAACCAAGAGGGCTAGGGACCCAGAGCGGGATAGAAATGAGAGTAAGGAAAACAAGGTAGGGTGTGGGCAGCGGGCAGTAAAGGACTGGCTGGACTTTTGTGCCCCTTGAACTGAACTGGGAAAGGTGCACAAGAGACAAGCCTTAGCCATGCTCCCAGTTCTTTCTAATCAGGATAGCCTCCAGGGGGTTGAGGAGGTCCTATAATAGGTACTAGATCTCTGATCCCAGCCTCAGCCCCCTCACCCCTATGCTCTGGTCCTCTGAGAGCCCTTACCTTTGCACGTCTTCCTGTCTGGCTGCAGCATGAAGCCCACAGGGCAGCTGCAGTGGACACCCGTCGCTGCATCGTGGCACTTACTGTCACAGCCCCCATTGTTGACAGCACAGGTCTCTGTTTAGGAGGGAGGTGGGGGATGGTAATGGGGTTATTGGCTTGGAGGAGTCCCAAACTTAAGGGTAGTAGAGAGTGCAGAGGCCTGAGGGAAGGCCTGAGCTGCCTCCCTGTGCTTTAGAAGGAGCACTCAGTGAAGGCTCCCAGCCCCCTTCCTCCCATGGCTCCCAGCCCCCAGCCCCTCACAAGTGCAGCCAAGCAGTCCACTTCCCTGCCCCCTACTTGATTGAAACAAGGTGGACAGCAGTGAGGCAGGTACAAGCCAGAGCTGTCAGGCAGGAATGTGCTGAGGGGGTGGAGGAGGTGGAGAGGGGAGGGTGCAGGGAGGGATGGGAGCTAAGTAAGGGTGGTTCTCAGCCGCCAGGGAACAAGAAGGGACAGATAAAAGTTTCCTCCTCTTTCCAGTGACTATCTCTGTGGTGGTTGGCGGGAGGGGGGTGGGGGGGGTGGTTCATAGTGGGGCAATCTTGGGAAGAGTGAACCTAGTGATTCTGGAGACAGCTGAGGGATTGCCCAGCTGTCTTAAAAAAAGATCCCAGTTCCAGGCCTGACTGCTCATCCTCAGAGGAGAGGCACATATTTGGTCATTTCCCAGCCCCTCCCCAGCTACCTCCCAACACCTCCCAAACCTTCCTTTTAGTTCCAGATGGAGATAAGCTGGCTGTTCTGTTGTTGTTTTTCTTTCCTAATGGGGAGAGATTGTCTAGGTAGGGGAGGGGGCCAAAAGAGAAGAAGAATTCGGAGGAGGAGGCAGGGTGTAAGAAAGTAGATGAAAGAGTTAGAGAACCTCAGAGCTAGGTCTCTTCTATTGCCCCCTCTTGACTGGTAAGACTCCTTTGCTGAGGGGTCAGAATAGAGGGAGTATGGATAGGTCACTCTCCCTATTTTCTGCATTCTGCAGGACATAAACAAGTTTAAACTGCAGCTCAGGAGAATGAGTTGAGCCCAGGGAAAAACCATCAGTTCAAATAGTGCAAGACCCCTCCCCCTTCAGGGACTCTGGAGGATGTGTGGGCCATCCTCTGGGGGCCCTAGAATTCTCCCATTGGAAAGACAGAATCCCAAACCCTCTCCTGGGGAAGAAAGGAGAGTGGTTCTCCAAATCTGGGGAACTGAATGAGAAAAGCACCAGAGAACTATCATCTTCTTAAATCTTTGACTCCTAAAACTCAGGTCCAACCCTTGTCACCAAGGAGACCACCAAAGCAAGGGTTCCAGAAGAAGCCCAACCCTGCCTGTGGGTCCCTGGTCATGCCCCAGTTATTCAAATGCCCAGGTCTGGGAGCAGCCACAGTGGGATTTCTTGTGTGCCACTTACACCTTAGTCTCCTGAAGTTCCCCAAGACCATGGGAGAAACCTGGGAGGGAATGTTGAGTTCAGGCTCCAAGCCTAGCCATTCCCCTCAAGAGTGCTCTTAGTAGAAGGAGAGGTGCCCCAAAGCCCTGGAGCAAGGAGAGGGGAACAGATCCTGTGCTAAGACTAGGTAGGTTCTGAGGGATCCAAGGTGAGGAGCAGCAGAGCTGGCACAACACACATCTCAGGTCAGACGAGGAAGCTGGGTACAGCTGCCCTCCCCTGCAGGGCAGCATTAGCCAGGGCAGGGTTGAGGCGGCAGGATGGCACAGCCTCAACCCTTTGCTCTTCAGGTCGCAGTATGAAACCACAGTTTAATCTGTGCTGATTCTGTGCCAGGCACTTACTAGATGCTCTGCACACACTGTCTCAATCATCTCAGCAACCCCAAAGGAGAAAACTCTTATTCTCCCTGTCTACAGAAGAGTAAACTAAGGATCAGAGAAGAAAGTAGCTTGCTTGAGGTCATATGGTTAGAAAGTGGCAGAGGCAGGATTCAAACTCAGGTCAGTCTGAATTCAGATGTCATGCTTGTACCCATTATGGTGGGACAGAATGGCGAGTGATGCTGGGGCTGTGAGCTGGTGTGGGGGGAACCCAAGGAAGCAGCCTCAAGGAGGGATGGCATCTAACTCTATCCCACCCCTAACTCAGCCACCTAGTGGGCACAACGGGTAAGATGGAGCTGCTGGGTTTTTTTGCTGTGTAGAAGGCAGAGAGAAGGGAGGGGCAGATGGCTGGGAACAGGTGAGGTGTTAGAAGGTGGGTGAGGGAGAAGGTGGGAGGAGGAGAGAGCAGGAGAGGAGGACAGTGACAGGAACAAAGAAAGACAAAACCAACACGAAGGCTCCTGGGCCAGCTCTTGGGGACTCAGGTTTCCTGTCACCCAATGGGCCCAGTACCGAGACTGCAGGGGAGCCCTGCTAATAGGCTAGAGTCCAGTCAGGCTGGGCCCAGTGGGCATGCGGTTAGTGGGAGCCCCAGCGGGTTAGCCCTTCCCCTAGCAAGCCAGTGAGAGCAAGCGGAGAGAGCAGACATATTTACCATTAGAAACGGCCTGAGGGGGGATGTGCTGCTCTAGCCGCCTTTCCCCTGTTTGACATTGTAAAAAAGCTGTTTAGATGCTGGGCAGCAGCCACTGTGGCCCACTGTGCCCCAGCCCCCTCCCCACCCTCCTCCTCCACCCTGTAGACCCAAACCACTAGCCCCAAATGATGAGCCCTGAGACTCCTATGCTTCATTCCCCAGCCTTGTCCTGCCTGGTATCCTCAAAGAAGCCAGGCTCCCACCAGGTGACTGATGGGAAACAGTCTCAGAGAGGGGCAGTCATGGGCCCAGTACCACACAGCATGCCAAAGGCAGAGCTGGGATGCAATCTCATATCTTACAAGCTGCCAAATCCCGAAGGGGCCCACCCTTTCTGCTTAACTGTACTGCCCTCTCAGTCTCCCCACTAAATCTGAATGTCTTGGTGGCCCCAAACAATGATGTTTCCTCCTACCAGGGCTGGGGAGAAACATGAGATCAGGGCAAGGCAAAATAAGTTCTGTTGGAGAAGAGGGAGAGGAACTCGGGAAGGACATAGCCATGAACCCTAGGACCTCCTCCTTTGCTCTCTTCTGCCTCACTTGGCCATGGTCCAGAAGACAGAATGGGTCTTGCATTAGAGAAGAGCTCAAGCTTACAAGGGGCTATTTTCAAAATCAGCCATGCTCAGGACGATCTGAACAGGGGGACACCAGAGGGGGATCTGGCCCCACATTCATGGGTCCCGAGCTCTGTCCTGACACATGCAGCTTTTCTTTGGGGACTGCATGCAGTTTCTTTTGGGAGACTCTGGGGATGTGTGAGTGTGTCCAGGGGATGGTGGAGGGTTTAGGAAGCAGAAGATTTAGGCTTAGGAGGAAAAAGATGAAAGGAGCTGGAACAAACCAGCCAGGAGAAGGTGACAGGAGGACCTAAAAATGTTCTAGGGACTTTGAAGAGTTAGTTCAGAGGGAAACGTGTAGCAGGAGGGGGTTTAATTAAAGAAGTTTAGAACTGTGTGTACAAGTCTCTGAAGCAGGTACTTGAAGGACCCCTTTAAAAAAAAATTTTTTTTTAATGTTTGTTTATTCTTGAGAGAGACAGACAGACAGAGACAGAGCATAAGTGGGGGAGGGGCAGAGTGAGAAAGGGAAACAGAATCTGAAGCAGGCTCCAGGCTCTGAGCTGTCAGCACAGAGCCCGATGCAGGGCTCAAACCCATGAACCGTGAGATCATGACCTGAGCTGAAGTCAGATGCTTAACTGACTGAGCCACCCAGGCACCCCTTTGAAAGACCCTTTTAGCAGCAGCATCTGCTCCCCTGTTCTCATGTCTGGGGGTTAAGGCAGTGCTGTCTACAGAGATGGGCCAGGTCTCTGGAGTGAGATGGGGACACTCATCTCACAGAACCAGTTCGGTTCTGAAGGTGAATATCATGTCTGTAACAAATACACAGAGTGACTGTGTTCACACCTCCTCACCCTCAGCATGTTGTAGCCCATGAGATGAATGGCATCTGTTGGTGCCCACAGACCAAACTTGCCCTTGCCTGGCTCAAGACACAGCCCTTCTCCCTGCCCAAACTCTTCTCTTTCACCTCCCACTTCTCCAAAGGGACACCCTGTCCCTGTTGTGTTTCTCAGCACTCTGTGAGCACACAGTAATCGGCCTTCACAAAAGACCTAAAGGCATAAGGCATTAGGAATTAAACGTCAGGAACTACGGAATTAAGCTCATTTCTGGTACCTGAAAGTATGTGAGGGAAGGCCTAGGAATTCAGGAAAAGGGATCCAGGTGTTAAGAAGGCCCTGGAGCAGGGCAATAGGAATGGAAGGCTGGAGCTGGTGGGGAAGTGAAGGGCTACAGGCAGAGGTGAGAGAGTACCACCGAGATGTGGAGGAAATAGGAGGAAATGAGGGCTAGGGTAAGGGCAGTGGACAGGGGGACACAGCACAGACAGGAAGAAGAAACCTGGAGTCAGGAAACCCCATTTGTCAGTTCCGGGATGGTTGTTCCAGGAGAGAACACTCTCTGCCACCCTCAGTTCCAGAGTGGGGACAGTGGGCTGTGACAGCTCCCATCTTACCACACTAGTCAACCAGGGCCTTTGGTCAGGCTTTCCCAGCTGCATTGCCCCAGCTCTCCTCCCCTTCTCGGGCACAGCCTTGGTCAACAAGCACCTCTGCTAATTAGTCCCAGTTTGACAACACTTTCTCCTGGATAAAGAGGATGGTGGGGCTCCAGGGGTGGGGCAGGAGAACTAATGGGTCAGGGAGGAGAAGAGGGTGAGCCCTGCGATCTCTCAGAGTCATCCCTCACTAGACCTGGCCTCGTCTGGGTCTTCAGTACACTCACCAGTCATTCTGTGCCCAGCACCTGGGTGCCATGCGTTCCCCCTCCCCTGGTTCCCAACCCCCACTCCCAGCACAGGTGGCCTTGAGTTCACCAGCCTCACCCACCGATGCACGTCTTCCCGTCGGTATGGAGCACAAACTTGACATGGCAGCCGCACCGGGGACCCTGCTCTGTGTCATCGCACGTGTGCTGGCAGCCACCATTACCATAGTTGCATGTCACTGTGCAGAGAGGGCAGGAGGCCTGTCAGCTTGCTTTTCCTTGGGTGCCACATATCTGGAGACTGACTCTCATATCTAGTTGCCTCTCCCATGCTCCCTTTTCCTCCCACCTCTTGCTGCTGAGTCCCTACACCCTTCCTCTTCGTTGCTTCTTCTCCCCAACGACCATCCCAATTATCTCACGTTTACAGTCCCGTTGGTTCTTGGTGAGTTCGAAGCCAGGGCGGCATTCACAGGCAATACCCCCTTTGGGTGTCTCCCGGCAAATGTGAGCACAGCCATGGTTCTTGTTCATGCAATTCATTCCTTCTAAAAAGCAAGAGGAGGGAGGTGAGTGCTCTATATCCCTGAATGCCTAGTGGAAGAGGAACTAGTCGGGTAGCTGGGGCCTAGGAAATTGAGAGAATCCACTGGGGCTGCAACACAGACAGGAGACACCAGTCCCTGTCCTGCGCAGAGCTGGGTGCTAATGAGCCATTCTCAGTGATGTATAGGTATTGATACCCAGCCCTCCAAAACCCTGCACGAGCACCCTCTCCTGGAGACAACAAAAAAGTAGTGTCTAATAGTTACATACTAGTGGATTTAGGAAGGA